CACGAAGATAAAGACATATTCTACGAACAACTAGAACAAACGACCCAACAAGTAAACCAAGGCGATATACTAATAGTGATGGGCGATATGAACGCTAAAGTTGGAGAAGACAATGAAAACGGAGAGCGCTTTACAAATTTTTGCTCCAATCATAGCTTAGTTATTGGTGGAACTATCTTCCCACATAAAAATATTCACAAGGTTACATGGACTGCACCAGGTCATATAAGAGAAAATCAAATAGACCACATCGCCATATCAAAAAGATGGAGATCATCCCTCCTTGATGTACGTAACAAAAGAGGAGCAGACATCGCAAGTGACCATCATCTTGTAATCGGTACCATTAAAATCAAAATGGCAAAAAACAAAATCACACGAAACACCAAACGACCAACATACAATCTAGACAAATTAAAAACGGCTACAGGAAGACACATGTTTAGGGAGGAACTTCAACTCAAAAGAAGAGAACGTGAAGTTAATAGCTGGGAAGATCTGGCAAATGTTTTGACAGAAATAGCTGAAGATAAACTCGGTAAAAAAGAGAAACATAGAAAAGAATGGATATCAGATGAAACTTGGAATCTTATCGAAGAAAGAAAACAGCAAAAAAAAGATATTCTGCAAGCAAGAACTGTAGAAGAAAGAGCGAACCGACAACAAGAATATGAAACAATAAATAAAGCAGTTAAAAGAAATGCAAGAAGAGACAAAAGAAGATGGACTGAAGAACTGGCAAAACAAGCCGAAATAGCTGCACAACACAATAGAACTAGAGAGCTATACCAAATTACCAGACGTCTAACAAAAAGTGGGCCCAACTGTTCAAACGTCGTAAGATCCAAGACAGGAGAACTACTTACCACAACAAATGACCAAATAGAGAGATGGAAAGAGCATTTTCAGGAGATGCTAGGCACGCCCAGGGATAACGCACATGAAATTGTCGAAAATCCACAGAATATAGACTTGCGTATATCTTGCGACGCCCCTTCCAAAACAGAGATAATAACAGCTATCAAATCTCTGAAAAATAACAAGTCTCCGGGAATCGATAACATTGCTGCCGAAATGCTTAAAACTGATCCGCATCTAACTGCTGAACTTCTGCTCCCCATAATCCGAGAGGTGTGGGAAACAAACCGCATTCCAGCGGGCTGGAAAAAAGGCATCATTACTAAGCTTCCAAAAAAGGGCAACCTCACACTATGCAAAAATTGGAGAGGAATAACCTTGCTTACCGCCATAAATAAAATCTTCACGACCATCATACTTAAAAGATTAACAAACAAGGTTGAATTTCGAGCTAATCAAGTAGGCTTTAGACCAGAATCCTCCTGCATAGACCACATTAATACTGTGAGGCTAATAATGGAACAATCGGTTGAATGGAACACACCCCTATACATGGTTTTTGTTGATTTCGAGCGTGCTTTTGACAGCTTATCTCATGATGCAATATGGAAAATTTTAGAGCTAAGAAACATCCCGCATAAAATAATTTCCATTATAAAGTTACTGTACACTGAAGCGAAATGCAGCGTGACACACAATGGGATCAACAGTGACGAATTTGACGTACTTACTGGAGTCAGACAGGGATGCGTGCTTTCTCCGTTTCTTTTTAACATAGCTCTAGACTATGTTCTCTCCAAACTAGACTCTGACACAAGAGGGATACAATGGACGTTAACCACACGCCTAAGCGATCTAGAATACGCCGACGATATCTGCCTGTTAGGACAAAGGTTCCAAGATGTGGCTGACCAATTGGAAACACTTTCCACTGAAGCCAATAGAATAGGTTTGAAAATCAATATTGGTAAAACCAAATCCATGAGAATAAATGCAAGAAACAACACGCTATTCACCATTAATAACATGCAGATTGAAAATGTGGAAAACTTTACGTATCTTGGAAGTGTCATAACAGAAAGCGGAGGTACAGAAGACGATATTCGTATGAGGATACGAAAAGCGCAACAAGCTTTCAGCATGCTCAACCCTGTTTGGAGGTCTGGAGAATACACTACGAGGACAAAGATCCGCATATTCCAGTCAAATGTCATGTCTGTACTACTTTACGGATGTGAAACCTGGAAAGCGACAAAAACCCTTACAGACAAACTGCAGGTCTTTGTTAATAAATGTCTACGAAGAATTCTTCGTATTTTCTGGCCTAACATCATCAGAAACGAAGACTTACTACACCTGACCAAACAAAAGAGGGTAGTAAATGAAATAAAGTCCAGAAAGTGGGGTTGGATCGGTCACACACTCCGAAAAAATAACTCCAGTATTGCAAAGACTGCCCTAGAGTGGAATCCCCAAGGAAAACGAAAAAAAGGTCGCCCAGTACAAACTTGGAGAAGATCCATCATGGACGAGATAAGAAAACAAGGAAAGTCTTGGAATGAGGTGAAGGCCTTAGCGCAAAATAGAACCCGATGGCGCGTTTTCACTGAAGCTCTATGCTCCACTTAGGAGTTCAAGAACCTTATATATACCACTCATTTTAACTTACTTAGTTTCTGACTTTCCACACTCAAAATCAGTAGAAGGTAAATAATATTATGGGCGTGACAAGATGCCTGGTAGATGAGAAACATTGTCGTTGTAATGTTATTTTGACAACAATAATATTAGAAAAAAGTTTACTTAGAGAGGCACACAGTACTAATACCCACGCAAAGCAGGGTATTTGTATACAGATCACGTCGTTTTTGCTAATTTACGAGTCTATCTTAACTCTAATGCGAAAAGTGAATTGGAGAACCTATAAATAGTGTTAGGTACCACATTTTTTCGAAAATTGAGTATAACACTCTGAGTATTGAGTATAATACTCTGAGTATTTTTTATTTTACAACCTACAAACTTATTGTTACTTTAATTTACCTGGATACCAATGAAAAGTGATTTTGGTGTATAAGTGAACAATATTGCTTTCAAATGTTGTGGGTTAACTCATTTTTGCCAATTTTGAAAGTCTCCATACTCTCCTTCAGAATAGAACGTATTATTTGAGACAAGTTTTTGGCTGAATTAGGAAGAAAAATTGCATAAACTTAAGAGTCGGTCGAAAACAGTGACCAGCCCTATAATACAGGGAATTATGATTCAGAACCATTTCAATTTTCTGGTAGTGATTACCTACCATCTAATAAAGACCAAGGTTTTGAGATAGCGACTAGAGAAGAAAATACTTTACATCCAAATACTTCAAGTGAAGCTACAAAGAGTTGTGAGAAACGAGGAAATATGCACTACAACACTTGAAATACGAAAAAGAAATTGTAATATAAATAAGCTCTACTTTTCTGCTAAAAGTAAAATTATTTTCCCCAAAATTTTTCCTGAAAACTTTAGACGTGAATGTAAGAAAAAATGAAAAGATATTGTATCTGTCGAAAATATAGAGAAACTATTTACTCATTTTTGGACATTGGGGTCATTTTCAGCAATATGTGCATTGATAAACTCCTCTGACAAGGAAAGAAAAAAACATACAAACAAAGAATAAATGGGCATGAATTTTATCAGAAAATACTGTAAATCAATGGTAAAGAAATTTACAAAATCGTTTTTCTTCGACTAGATTGCACAAAATTCGCATATATGTTGGAATAAAAAAATCTTCCAGTGATTTGGTAATATGTGATGAAATAGGGCGGAAGTAGGAACAACGGGGACCATGGAACTATTGGTAGTAGAAGAAACAGTAGAAGGCCGAAGAGCAAGAGGAAGATCTTCAACACGTTAAGCAGACCAAATGAAAACTCTGATGGGAAAATCTCTACAGGAAAAAGTCCATATGGCACAAGATCGCAACCATGGGAGGCAGCAAGCCAATATTATTCAGAGTGTCACCACGCCCTGACAAGGGCTCAAGCAATGAGGAGAATGAAATAAGAAAAATAGTGGAGGAAAGAATAAATGTACCTATGAACAATTTTTTAAAATTATTGAACACATCAATTATTTCCCAAAATATGTCTGACATTATTGTAGAAATGAAATACTTCAAAATTTCTTAATCTTGATGTTAACCTTGCCAAGATGTATGATCTGTACGAAGTATTTGCTTCTTACACAAAGCTTTTAAGTCTAGCCACTCACAAATCAATATTTTATTCAAATTTTAACCTTACATTTAAAAGCCTGAAGAAGGAGATTTGCCTGATATGTGTTACGTTCAAAACAAAAGTACTAAGCGCATCAGAATGCAAAAAAGGGGTTTTAAAAATGTACATGATGTTCATTTGTAAAAATTAGAAACATTATGATCGAAGCTAAATAAATAGCGTTGTGAATCAGAAATTAACGAAAATATATAAACCCTGACTTTTGATATGCGAAAAGGTATTTCATACTACAAGTGTCCATTAAATTTAGTACAAGTGCCCAGGAAGTTGACTGTGTAGAAGAAAAATATAATTTTTGATTGTCGCCAAAAATATAATTTTGATTGTGTCGAAAATTTAATAAAATCTATCACGAATTGAAGTTAACGGGTCAAAAAATAAAGTGACATGGTTGGTTTGTCATGAAATTAAAATTCTTAACGAACAATCAACTATGTTAATAATGAAGACAGACTTGACCCAAGAATCACAATATTCTAATATTGAAAAAGGTCGGAAAGGTCATAAACTTTTATTAAAGGATGTAGAGCTACCACTTTTTTGTTCAGGTGGTAAACTATGAAAATATGCTGAAGCCAAAGCTGAAATGGGTTGATCAATTTTTTTATATTTATATGAAACCCAAGAATTTTAATTTTTTTGTTAATGAAGGTATTGGAAGGCTGGAATTGATTTGTTTTATTCCCAAAATTTCTCATTTAAATCTTGTACCAAATAATTATAATTTTTTATCAAAGTATTTTGTTAATTTCTTCAAAACCTCACGACGGTCGTACACGCAACCCGTTGTCGCATAACACTTAACATACTTTATTATTATCTCTAGGTATTTTTAGTTTAAATAAACAATTTTTATTAAGGTCAATACTATATACTATTTATAAATTATAGCAATCATCACTTGGTATGAACGATATAATTATAAAGCTATCGGGTTTCGATATAAAAACAGTCTTTAAGAAACTGTGCCTCCAGTTGAAAGAGCACCGCCTTTGCCAGTCCATTCTTCTTTAAGTTTAACGTTACAGCCTAAGTCGCGGAGAGCGGCTTTAATGTCATAATCTATATCCTCGAATTTTTTCAAATCAGCTTGAAGAATCTCTTCAATTCCCAAGTCTATGAACGTTCGGTTTTGGTCTCTGCTACGTGAAACCATATTTCTAATAGCTCTGCTTCCAGCTTTCTGAAAAACGAAATACAAGGAGTAATTTTTTAATAACTACAGCTAGATAAACAAGACCTAAACATATTTGAAAATTAAAAATGGTTCATTATATACAGGGAAATGAGTGCGTCTAAGGAAGATATTTTAGTCATTACCAAAAAAAGAAGTATATACAAAAATTAGAGGTAACTTTATACTTAATATTACAAAATAATTATTTTCGTATCTAAAGGGTACATCTTGTGTTTGGGATGAACCAAACATACTTTTTTTATTACTTATCTTAATATCCCGTATAGCCTATACAAAAAACCGGATATTAAATTTTTTTGCAAAGATAACTTTTTAATAGGTCCAATTTTACGATAAGGTGCTATTTTTTATTATTAGAAAAATGTACTATGTACTCTTCATGTTCTTATTGTTTCAAGAAATAAATAGTTGTTTATTAGTACAGAGACTGTCCAATAGAGATATCCTGCACAAACCAAGAAAGAAACATTGAAAAGGTTAGTAGATGATTTTACCCTTTATGATTCAGTAATTTTTATGAAAAACATGAAGAAATAAAACGTGCTATTCCGAGAAAATGAGTTTAATTGAATGCTGGAAGTAATAGATAGTATGGCGTCCATGAGGGCTCTTAGAACCCCTAAGGTAGACTCTAGGCTAATGTGGAATCCTGGGAAGAACTCAAAACAGACTGGTGAAGCCAGTGTGACACTGATATGGGTTCCAGGTTACTGAAGAATACATGGCAATTGTATCTGATTGAATTATATTGATCCAAACAGTATCTCTTCGTTCACACTAAGACATGACATGTTTTGCTTTGTTGGGAACTCGTCAGGTAGATCTAGAACCTAAGACAAATTGAGAGAAAGAAACGCCGGTACGTAATCAAATTTATAAATTGTCCAGATGCTCTCGCTATGTTCCAGAAACAAATTTCTATAACCCATTTTATAAACAGCTCCATAGTATATGTTGAAAGCATGAATGGCTGTCTTTTCTGTTTAAGATTGACATGTTTCCTAGTTTCTGTCCTTTAAATTAGATGGCGGTATGTAGCGAGAGCGCCAAATAAAAATTTCTACAGCCGAAATTAAATAAAGTATATGTGGATGTATTAAAAACATTTTAGCCGATATAGCCTAGTTATAGAAGCAAACTAATTACAAAATCAATAAGTATTATCCAATAAAGACCCTTGACGATGGTTGGAAGTTCGGTCAATATACTTTTAAATTTTATTGCTCAACTCTTACTTGCCCTTTTGACATGAAACGTTACATTGACACTTATAGTAAGATATTTTGTGTTGCTGTAGTATGGCAATATTTTCTTTATCACAGAACCGACCAGCCTTATTAAATATCCATGCCTGATACTATTATAACAAGTGTTGCATTAAAAAAATATAATCAATACTACAGAAAACAAAAACATTAACATGATGTAGTCACTAACGAATCATCATATAAAGCATAATTTTGTTATACTTACATGGATTTGTTTGTCATCTGGATATATCTTCATAATTTCTGTAATAGCTGCTGGCATACCTGCTTTAAAAAGTGCTTTACTATTTTCAGGTGATCTAAGAGTCAAAGCTGCCACAGCGTTCAGACCAGCTACCGCTGTTAATGCATTAACCTTAAAAATATTTGTTGTACGATCATATATATATATATATATATATATATATATATATATATATATATATATATATATATATATATATACAGGTGATCAATGCAGTGTCAAATATAAAAGAGGTAAATTTTATGAAATGTCGATAATTCAGCGGATGTGCTCACACACTTCACTGTGTGTGATTAATAGTTTTATTTGATTAGAGCCACACCCGAAATGTTCAAATTTCGTATTTTAAAATCGAAATTGGTTTGCAGCTTTGAATTTGCGAGAGAATCCAGTCGGTATGTGAATGTATAGTATGGTGAGAGGTAGAGTCTCAAGACTTGGTGAGGCTTATTCATTTATTGAAAAGACGAGGCAAGGTAAAAAACCTGAAAACACACCTCATAAAAAAAAGGTAATTTTTTTAAGACAGAGAAGAAGAGCAAGCCAAAGACCAAGGTTCCTTGATAACATCGATGAAGACATGAGAAATATGGGAATAGGTGCTTGGCGGAGGAAGGCGATGGATAGGGACGACTATCGGATGGACAGAAACATAGGTGATGTTTAATTAAGAGTATATACAAAGGTGAGCAGGAGAACTGAGTACAGTGCAGACGGTAGTACAATTTTGAATTCTACCGCATTCGGAGTGAACCTGATTTGGACCTATATTTCTATCATAACTCATATATAATAATGGGCGAATGGATGAGGATGATCAAGATTTATGGACTAAGTGGAGAAAAATCTAAGAATATTATGAACACAAAACTGTTAGAGGAATCAAAACTAATCTTGGTATAGATCAAAGACTACAAAAGGTTGTAGAGGCAAAAATGATGATAATAATCTCATTTTAAATGCATATCGACGGTGTGAAGGCCAAAGGGCATAACCTTCAAACTATGATTTTTACAGGACGTACAAAAACTGAATTAGTTGTACTTTGTTTCAACATATATAGTTACAGCTGTATAGTCATTTGTGGGATACAACTTTTAGCCGTGAGCTGTATCTCTGCTCAGTCTTTCACCTAAAGCTAAAATTTCAATTTTTGGTTTTTAAGAGTTACGCCCTTTGGCTTTTGCACCATCGGTATCTTACCTTATTAACCGCTAAAGAGTTTGTAATAATGGGAGCCAAACCTTTTTCTATCAAGTAAGCTTTGCAAGTGTCATTTCCTGCTAGAGACTTTATTAGCTTAAAACATTGTCTAATGATCTTCTGAAAAATAAAATAAACAGTATTTTTTTAGTTTTTAAAGAAATATATTGTGAATATTTTTTCATAGAATATGTTAAATAATTGTAAGAATAATAAATTTAGCAATATTCTGTCATGATTCGAAGACTTTTAATTAATATACAGGGTGTCCCGGAAAATAGTGCGTTCCTTAACGATATGTGCAGATTACAGCATTTAAAACAAAAAAGTCTTATAACATTTTTTTATAAAGTTAACCGTTTTCAAAAAAAAAAATAATAATAATTTTAATCGAGTGGATTATTGTTCGCAGAAAAGGAAATACAGCCGGCAACGTTGCGTTCCTTGTTATTCTTCGTTATTTACTGTAAATCAGCTATGATGAATCATCGATCATTAGGCATAATATGTATTGATACTGATAACAGTGATAGAGAAAAAGAATATATTTGTTTTTATTAAATATTTAATAATTAAAGTTTGAATACTGTTTCTACATACGTGGAAAATTATTATTACAATAAATGTTCGAAATAACCACCATTTGCACAGATACATGCGTTTATTCGACGAATCCAATTATTCTTAATATTAAAAGTATGTAAATTATTTCTGATTATTTCAGCAGCATCAAAAATTCGTTGTCGCAACTGAGCTTCTGTTTTAATTTCATCCTGGTTGTCGTATACTAATGATTTTAGATGTCCCCAAAAATAAAAGTCCATAACATTGCATCCTGGTGTTCTGGGTGGCCACAGAACGTGTCCATTTCTACCGATCCAACGACGAGGATAAGTGATGTCCAGGAAATCTTTAATCTGTCTCGTAAAATGTGCTGGAGCCCCGTCATGAAGAAACCACATTTCAGAGCATATTTGTAACGGAACGTCTTCAAGAAGTATCGGTAGAACATGCTGCAAAAAATTTAAATAGGTTTCTCCATTCAATCTTCTGGGAAGTTCATACGGCCCAATCAGATGGTTACCAATAATCCCAGCCCATAAATTTATACTAAATTGTTTTTGAAAATTTGTCCTACGTATAGCATACGGGTTTTCATCATTCCACACGTGACAATTGTGAAAATTAAATACACCATTTCTTGTAAAACAAGCTTCATCTGCACACAACACTTTACACGGAAATTCGGGTTCTCTGGCGATTTTGTTTTGAAACCATCTACAAAATCCTAATCGTCGAGGTAAATCGTCTTGGTGTAAATCTTGCACTCGTTGGTAATGGTAAGGATGTAAGAGTTGTTCCGTAAATGTCTTGTGAACAATGTTTTTTGAAACGCCAACCATTCTAGCCACAGATCGGGTACTTACACTTGGATTATTACTGACTATATCCAAAATCGCATCTTCTGCATTTAGTCTACGGTTACTTCGTGTTCTACCACTAGTTTTTTTAGGTATCACACAACCCGTCTCTAATAACCTTTGGGACACGTTCACAAAACTTCGGGCATTAGGATGTCGTCGTCCGGGATAGCGTTCAACATAAAGTCTAACAGCACTATTACTGTCACAGTGAGCTTCACCGTACGTAATTAACATAATATCGTGATACTCGCGAATCGAAAACATGACAATACTATATTCTTTAGCTACGGGTAATTACAACTGTTTACAAATAATGTACCTTCTCTGTATCAAAATAAATTAAACTATAAGATTCTACCCATACCTATTGGAGCGCAACGTTGCCGGATGTATTTGCTTTTCTGTGGATACTAATCAAATGGATTAGAGTTTTTTGTTATTATTGGTACGCTCAGCCCATACCTTTAAGGAACGCACTATTTTCCGGGACACCCTGTATACTCAATGGATATGGCCGATATAGATGGCGTGCGACGTTGGTTCACTTTAGTAATCAAATAGAAGCGAGTAAATAAGAAAATGCAAATATTAGATCAGAAATGTTTTTAATTTCTTTAATTAATTAAATACTTTTAAATTAATAAAACCAAGAATATGATGTTTATTGAGACAAAGTTATTCTATTTCAAAATTATTCAAGTTGTCTACACTCTCCATAAATAGCGAAGAGCCGCGAGGTGCGCTGATGATAAAGAAGGAAGCACAAGACTGAAATGCATGTCTTTAGCAAATTCAATCCATTGTTGCAAGTCTTGTCTGACAGTTAGTTATAACTATTTTATTTACCATGAGAATACAATTTCTGTTTACTTGTTATTGTTTGCTATGGACTTTTAACTTTCAATTAAGAAACTAAGTTGAAAAAAGGAAAATGCATTAAAGGAAGGTGACATTTACTGTTAAATAGTTGATTTAAAAAATAATAAAACTACATCCAAATCATTAATAAAATTAAACGGGTCAAACTGAATGAATAACGTTTTGACTATCATTTATTTATATATTATTATTGTCATTTCAAATAACTATTTAAAATTTAATATTTACCTCATTAGCAGCAAAATTGTTCATCACTTCTCCAATCATTTCAATTCCTCCGGCATCTTGAACTTTTTGACAAAATTCAGTTCTGACCATTAAAGTAGATACAGTTAACATCAGGTCGTGAATAAAAGGTTCATCTGCTTTAAAACCTACGCAATAAACGTATATAGTCGATACTAAGTTAGGTTAAAAATTATACAGGGAGGCGCACCAAAAACGAAACAGATATTTTTGAGCAGTTAATAAATTTTCTTGGAAAAGCCTAAGTCTAGTCGATTTTGGTTTTACGAGGAACACGTATTCACTGTCATATCTACCGCACGTGAACTTACCCTAAAACTCTCACTTTAGTTTTTCATTTCTTACTTGTGCATGTTGCGTTTTCTAGTGTCCAGTTTCCACAAATTTAACAATAAGTTTAGAACATACTTGCGTGCACTCTACTATCTTCATGTCCCTTTCAGCCCTTTATGCCCTGGTGTGTACCATGCTATGACTACTTTTAAAATCACATATATAAAAGGTTTTGTCGTATCAATCACCGACTTTGTATTACATTGAAAATGATAAAAAAATACGCAAAATGATAAACCGTAAATAATTTAATGACAATATTAACAAAAACAAATTGAAGATATCTTACACATAATGGAACCAGTTCTATTTTATATATTTTAAGCTTTCAATAAATTCTAAGGAAATATGTATCTGCAAAGTTGTATAAAGAGTTATTTATATATACCCGAAGGGATGGATGAAAAGGTTATACAGCAAAAGGATGACATGATATGTCAGAAATTTTCTAAATGAAGAACACCAGAGAAGACACAGAGGTTGCGGGACCTCAAATGAGAATGTAATACCGGGGATAACGAGGGATGAGGTTGTCCAGGCTTTAAATACGATGAAGAATACCTAATGATGAAGGACCTAATGGAATACCTGTGGAGGTTAGGAAGTCTCTAGCAGAGAGGAAGGGGTTGATGTGTTGTGGCAAATGATGAATAAGATATATGAGGAAGAAATGATGTCCAATGCATGGAGGGAGAGCGTGATGGGTATTACTGTATAAAGATAAAGGGGACTTTCAGGTCTATAAGAACTATAGAGGGATAAAGTTGATGCCACACACATTAAAAATTTGGGAGAGAACTGTAGACGAAGGTTAAGAAGTAAGATATCGACAGGAGAACAGCAGTTTGAGTTTATGCCAGAAAGGAAGACAACAGATGCCTTATTTGCTTTAAGACAGTTGATAGAGAAACAGGGCGAGAAGAAAAAAGAGTTACACTTGGAATTTATATACCTTGGGAAGGCGTATGACACAGTTCCTAGACAAGAGGTATGAAGATGTATGAGAGACAAATGGGTTCCTGATAAGTACGTAAGGCTCGTGAATGATGGGTATCAGGGAGCGTATACCAAAGTAATGTCTCGAGCCCGATTGACCGAAAGTTATCCAGTGACGGGTGGTTTGTATCAAGGATCTTCATTGAGTCTATACCTGTTTAATCATGTTATGCATGTTCTGACAGAGAAGGTAAGAGAGGCGGCTTCTTGGCCACTGCTCTTTGCGCATGATATCGTGTTAGGGGGGGGGGGGAGAGCAAAGAATGTTGAAGAAGTTGGAGTTTTGGAGAAGTGCTATTGAAGAGAGAGGACTTAAGGTTAGGTTGAAAATGGAGTATATGTGATTGGAAGTAACAGGAATGGTTGGGGTCATCGAATTACTTTAGGAAAAACTAGGACGAGTAGAATTTTAATACTTTGGCTACTACATAATGGAAAATTGGACACTAGATCTAGACATTGTCCACAGGATACATGCCGGTTGGCTTAACTGGAAGCGAATGAGCAGGATACTCTGCGATCGAAAAATCGATGAAGTACTGAAAGGAAAGATATACAAGGGAGCGGTGAGGTCAGCGTTAGCGTACGGTGGTGAAATTTGGCCCTAAAAGAGGATTCAGGAAAAGAAGATACAGATAACTGAAATGAAAATGTGACGGTGAATGATGGGTAAGACTAGAAGGGACAAGATCAACAATAACGTAATTAGGGAGAATGCCGGGGTAACTGCAGTCTCAAAAAAGGTTCAAGATCAAAGACTGCGATTGTTTGGCCACATCAGACATAGAATTGAGAACTATTTGGGATAAAGGATAACGATAAGGATGAGAGAAAGTTTTAAATGAAGAAAACACGATGGGCAAGAATGAGTGGCAAATAAGATTATGGAACGGAGACTCCTGAAAAGAGAAAAGCTTAGGAAGCAGAAGAGATAGATTCTTTTAAATTGTTGCAGATATTATAGTGAACTGGTCTTCCTTTAAAACGGGAAGTGTCCTCCTTTAAAACGAAATCGACAAGTGTGAGCGTTTTCCATGATAATTAATTAGCTTACTGAAAATGCCTGTGTCGTTTTCGGTGCGCTACTCTGTATAATAGTGTATTTTATAGATATATTTCTTTATTTGCATTTTAATACTCTGTCGTTTATGCTGTCAAAAAACGAATGAGGTTTTCATTGGTTATTTCGTTAATTAGTCTCTAAATGTCAGTTGTTAATTTAATAATGAAAGAATAATGAGCCATTTTAACGTCTAGCTAAATTTTCTTGTAGAGTTCTAAATATGGGTGATTTATGGCAATACCTTTTATTTCTTCATCGCACGTTAACGTGCAACTACTATAAATCATCCATGTTTAGAAAATCCCATTAAATTTTATGAACCCATGAACACCAGAAGTCATAAAAATGTTTGTTTGCTAACCGTTTTAAAAGTCTGTAATGTTATCACTAAAATAGGAGAAATTGGAAATAAGATAACGATACGACTAGGTATTGGAAAATACGGATACAGTAACACAAATAACTGAGACATTGGTAAATGTCCTTTTGAAGCAGCATTCGGCAAGGTAGTCTACGAAATGACCTTGTAATACTTCATAGTTGGGAATGATGGAGCGAACTTTACTCAATAATCGTTCCAAGTTGTTAATGGTCCCAAGGTACCCGTGTCAAGATCGAGAAAATGTTGTTGAGTTTCCATCGGGCTTTCATCGCTTTGGCTTAACTAGGGTTCAGATCAAAATGTTTTACCAAAAAAGGCAGATATTTTTTTTCACTTTAATATAAACTTTTAATGTGTTTACAATTGGGATAGGTAGCTACTTGCGATCTCACATAACGACTGTTAGCAGAGCATGCTGAATTAATTGTCGATTAAAATAGAACGGTTTTAAATATACGGTCTCCAAAGTCTGTTCACAGACTTATGTAACAATAACAAACAATCAACATATAAGGTATACAATTTATTCATGGTTCAGACAAATCATACGATTTCCAGCGATTCTTATAAATGGTTGTCCTCGGAAAAAACCATTATGTAATTATTCCAATTACAGCATCGGCATTCCTTCTTTCCACTGGCACTAATAAGCAGTTTCTGGAGTTTCGTTCAAATCCGCCAAATATTCACTGCCCGGTATAATGATGACCTCCATTATATTCTCTCTGGCCAAATTTTGCTTCGTCAATTTCAATAATCGCATCTGTGTCCCAATTTAACACAGTTGGTTTTAGACAAACTGGAAAGTTCTAAAGTGCGAAAAAGTAACAATTTACATTTTCCTATAAAAACTTTTTAACACACGCCACTCTAAACTTTATCTTGCAGGCACAGGTGCAATAGTATCCTTAATAGCACGAACATTTTCTATGTAATATTTTTAATAGGCTACCCCACCGATCCACTGTTGATTCTTTCATTACTCCATGTTTAATATAACACTGCAAAAAATAGTAGTTTAATAGTGAGGTAAATGGTCCGGTTTTGATAATTCTAGATGTTAAAATTTTGGGGAATTCTGCAATGGTAAGGTAAGATCTTATTCAAACATTGCTAAAATCAATATTGGCTACTTCAATTTGTAGGTCTTCAGGGACTTAAGTTCGTTCCAATAAGCAAGACATGTCGACGGACAATTCAGTCCATCATCGACATGTAAGAATACATCATGAGAACATGAAACAGCTAAGAGTCATTCTCACGCAGAATCAGTAAATAAATAGTAGTAGTTTCAGGAAGCGGTTTTTTCAGCAATACTTTAACAAAGATAATTAACCACAAGGAGTAGTATCTATTAATAAATATGGTAAATTAATTATATTATATTTGTACTATCTGATTTTCTCATTATGCATTTTATGTTAAGACAAGAATGTACCTAAAACTATGAGAACTATTTGAAGTAAGTCAACAAAAGAATCCAGTCTCACTGTCCCAAATAGCTCTCAATAACCACAATCAGGATCCTACACACGAATCTTGAGTACAGTAAGGCAGCTTTCGCGGAACTTACTGTTGATATGAGAAGGTTAGAGGTCTTCTTGATATTGCAAATAAAATGTCCATCGGGTGTTGACGTAGAGCTCATATATAGTAAATTTACCGAAGACTCGGAGACGTGTAAAAAGGACAAAGGTGTACAATAACTCAATTACCAGCAGACGACCCGTGTAAAACAGACAACTTAGAGAAAAACAAAAGACATTAAAAAAATAACCTAACTAATTTCTGAAATAACCAAGACAAAATATAATTTTACTCTGTATTGTTCCATATATTTTTATAAGACTCAATATTTTTTTAAAATATGGCAACACAGTGATAATCCGAGTATTACCCGAGAACAAGCATAAACTTAACCCATCTATAAATTGAAACTTTGGAGGGGACTATCTTATGTGAAATAATAACTTACGTGTCATTAACTGAGTCAAGGGGCACAAAATTTCACTGGCAATAATTCGTGCATGTTCATGGGCATTACCGAATTCCACTCTAATGTCGTCATCCAATACTAGAGCTCGACAAACGGCTAAAACTTCTCTTAAAATATCACTGCTTCCGTCATTTAGTAATTCCTTTAGTTTGTCCAAAACGTGGGCGTTGAATATGTTCTGCCTAAAATAAATAATGCGTTACCGAAACAAAGAAATAGGAAAAATACTAGTAAACACATTATTTAATACAATATATTGCTGTTCCAGAAGTATAATGACACAATTGTAAAATTTTGAAAAATGACTTTATTGTGTTGGATGGATCAAAACTGCATTTTCTATATATTTTTTAATCATCATAATTGTACTTACGAAATCACCGTTCATGGCGAAATTCCCAAGTACAATTACGACGATTTACAAATATGTAGATGAAATCGTAGGCTTCCACGGCCAGAGTCAGAATTATAGTTTATTCGTCTTCCGGATTTGGACCGTGTCATTTGTGAGTGACCCAAAAGTGGGTTCATCTCGACGTTTCGCTACAATTGTATGTAGCTTCTTCAGGAGAACAAAGAAAAAAGAAGAAATCAAAGACAGGAAGATGGGTAGTTAGCAACGGTAACTCAGTTACTCAACGCAACCAGAGGCGAATACTAACTACCAAGATGGGCATTTGGTCACAGTAACTCAACTACTTAACGCAGCCAGAGGTGAAAACCAAATGCCAGGACAGGGATTCACGTCCAACAGCTCAGAACACTAACGCGTCGAGAGGCGGGGAGTGAATCGGACGATTACTCCGCTACCGCTCTATTTATAGTCGCGGTGACCTGTCGTGTCGGGACGTATCGGCACACTCCGTGGCGCGAACGTCAAGAAGCGCGCGCTGGCCAATCATGTGGCTGCATCGTGGTAGCGGGACCGGACGGCGGCTCTAGACTGAGATTCCAGATGGAAGACAAGTAGTGTCCTTCCTCTCGATTGATATTATGTGGATTTTTTCGGATCTCTAGAGATTCGCGGATTTTCCTGGAATAAAAGAAGGGGCTCTTAGAAATAATATGGGTTTTTTCGAACAATATGGAATGACCGGTTTCTTGGCAGTGTTCTGCAACTGCAGAAAGGGAGAAAAGACCTGATCGAATGCATCTTTGATGCTCTTGAATCCGAGTTTTGACGGAACGACCAGTTTCGCCAATATACACATGTCCACATGAACAAGGAATAGAATAGACACCACAGGAAGATAGGGGCGGTAATGGGTCCTTAGGAGAGGGTAGATCTTGTGAGATTTTCTTGGGTGGTCGAAAAGTAGTCCTGATACCTTCTTTGCGAAGAATTTTGCCAATCCTATCAGTGACACTTCGAATATACGGAAGAAAAGCCACAGGAGTATTACCCGAAGATTCTGAATTTGTCGTCCTAGGGTGTAAAGGGGGATGTAGATGTCGGTGTGTAATATTTTGAATTGTGGACTTGGAGTACCCGTTGGCGACAAGGGTTTTTTGCAGATGGCCAAGTTCTTCTCTAAGGTTGTCAGGTTCAGAAATCGAAATGGCCCGATGGATGAGAGAGTTGATCACAGAATTCTTTTGGGCAGGATGGTGGTGTGATGAAGCATGTAGGTAACGATTCGTGTGAGTCTTTTTTCTATAAACAGAGTGACCCAATCGGCCATTGGGCTTGGAGGTGACTAACACATCGAGAAAGGGAAGGACGTTCGGAACATCGGAGTTCCTTCAAAGACAATGAAGGAACAATGTCCTGAACATTTCGGAGGAACTGTTTATGCCACCGCAACAGTCAATAATATGAACTTAGTATAGGGTGGAGACATGGTATAATAAACTACAGAGGTATCATATTGCGCACGGTCGCTCGATCTTCGGCCAGAGCGTGACGTCAGTTGCAGCGTAGCAGGTAGCAGCAGTGTTCCCAAACCTACTGATTTCGCCGCTTTTCTACCGATGTATCGCTACCGAATTTTATATTCAGATAGAAATTTTTACTTTTTCTTAAATTTGAGAAGAAATATGTAAGAGACAATACAATTTTTCTTGCGATACCTGTAATTTGCATTGAGCATTTTTGTGTACTCACAAAAACGTGTGAAAACATTCAAAAATTTATTCTTAAATGATACCTAAGCGGTCCTTTACAAAGTACATGATGTAATAAAAGCTAATAATACAATAATAAATGAATCAAAATTCATTGTGACCCCGACCGCTTGGTTCTGGGAATTTGTCAAGTATTAGGAGACTTAAAACCAGAACAACGCAATTTTAATCTAAGCTTCCGAGTGCACCTCACGTAAAAACTCGGTAGTCTGTTTGTTGTATAATATTTCCTTCTAAAAGGGTTTTATACTCGAGGTTTCAGTTTTTGGCTAAGTATTCAATTAAGTAATGCTGGGTAGCAGCATTAGTTAGAAACTAGCAACCGAAGAGTGAAGTTATCGGTTTCGGAGTTTTCTCACAATTATATTTTTAATTTTTACGATATGCGTTGTGCGGTATTTGGCTGTTCCTCTGATAACCAGAGCAAGCGAAATCCTTGCCCTGGCACGAGGTTTTTTCGTTTCCCTAAAGAGGAAAATCTAATTAAACAGTGGGTGCACGCCACCGGTAGGAAAGATAAATTTAACCCAAAGACGGCTTATATTTGTTCAAAGCATTTTACAGAGACTGACTTTTATGTAAATCTTAAACATCAACTGCTAAATTATCGGCCAAAAAATTATCGGGGTTTGAAAAACGATGTTGTTCCCAACAAGAATTTGCCTATGATGAAACCTGAGGTTACCACAAGCCACGATGGCGCATTAAAAAAAAGGCAAAGAAAACAACTCGTTGATGAATTATTAAGCAAGTAAGTTAAATGTAACTTTTTTCTAGATATAAGCTTCTATAGAACTTCTTAGAAATCATTTACTTATTGCTTATTTAATTTCCGTAGCAAACTTGAAGGCTCTGGGGCTAACATTAAAGAAGTAGGCACTGAAGATAACTCTCAAAGTTTTATTCATGGTGATGGTTTTAACAATAATACTGCAGAGAAAAGGTAAATTTATCTAAAATTTATGCTTTAAAATTTAAAATTATTGAGCGTGTCATAAAGCTCCAAAGCAAAATTATTATTTAATTTACGGTAATTATAAATACATATTAAAAACAAAATATTTTTAGCATACAAACAGAACCACTAATAAACGGAAATCAAGAACTGATTAATGAAATTTCACTTCTAAAGCAACAACTAAATGCGGCAACAGCAAAGGTGTCTGCATTGGAAAACACTATTTCGGCCGTAGAAAATATTTTTTCGAAAAATCAAATTAAAAAAATTAAAAATAACAAACGAATATTGTGGTCTACATCCGAAATTTCAAAAGCCATATCATTATATTCAGCTGGACCTCGAGCTTACAGACTCATGATAAAAAGACATTTTCCGTATCCAGCAGTATCTACATTGCAATCTTGGTTGAAAAACATTAAAATACAGCCTGGTACATTAAAAAACTCTTTTAAAATTGTGGAATATTCCAGCTTTAGCACGAAAGATAAAGTTTGTACTTTATTATTTGATGAAATGAAAATCAAAAAAGAGTATGTCTACGATAAATCTGAAGACCAAGTATTACAGCCATTTGCATATGTGCAAGTCGTAATGCTGACAGGTTTATTTAAACAGTGGAAACAGCCTGTCTATTACAATTATGACACAAAAATGACTTCTTCTATCCTATCTGAGATTATTACATTTGTAGAAGAAGCAGGTGAGTAGCAGCATACCATATTTAGGCACTTATATTTACTTATAAATTTTCACTAGGTTTCCAAGTAGTAGCTATGGTTTGTGATTTAGGGGGTGGAAATAGAGGACTGCATACAGAATTGGAAATTACAGAATCCAAACCTTATTTTAAAAACCCACACAATGGTCAAAATGTTTATGTTTTTGCTGACGTGCCACACCTATTAAAGCTTATCAGAAATCATTTTGTGGATGAAGGTTTTATTTTTAATGGACTAGAACTGAATAAGGACTGTGTTGAATCTGTTCTCGATGCAACAACAGGTTCTGATTTAAAAATTACCCACAAAACGGATAAAGAAAAGCTTAATGTGAGAGGAGCTCAAAGACAGAAAGTAAAATATGCCGCTAAATTATTCTCCCATACGGTATCGAAGGCTATTAGTAGGTGCGGCATGCTTGGTCTCATTAATCAAGATACAAATTGGACACAATTGGCAGATCTTTTTAAACTAGTAAGAGTTACAATTTGTAAGGTAAACATTAATTACTAATTTGTTTTAACTTGTTATAGGTGAACGATTGGTTTGACGTATTTAATGTTAGCGTTCCTGTGAGCGACACTCGAACCAGAAACCGGGCATATGGTTTGGAGTTAGAAACCCAAAATGATATTTTAAATAGAATGTCTGACATGATTTCAACAATGCGCGTTAAAGGCAAGAAATCATTGCTTCCATTCCAAAAAGGTAACACAGTATATTAAAGTAAAAACACATTTATAACATTTTACAAAACATTGTAGGTATTCTTATATCAAATAAGGCTCTGCAGTTGCTGCTTGAAGATGTAGGCAAACGCTATAATATGAACTACCTTTTGACGAGACGCTTAAACCAAGATCCCTTGGAGAATTTTTTTGGAGTCATAAGAGCAAAAGGTGGTTTGAACGATCATCCAACTTCTTTAGATTTTAAATACCGACTGCGTTCTTATTTAATGGGAAAAAATGAAGGTGCTTTTTCAGATTACTGTAATGTAGAAGACGATGGTACTCCTACATTAACTATGAGCGGTAGTATGGTAGAAAAGCTTGCTTTAAAAAAAACAATCATTGACACCAATCCCACGGATGGAGATGACATAGTCCTCTGTGAAGAACTCGATGATTTAAGATATGATGGACTAGAACATTTAGGAGAATTTATTTGTAGCAAGCTTAAAGGCAAGTTACCAAATTTAACTAACCTAAGTTCGACGTCTTACACCTGGACCAATCATTTGACAGAAGGTGGACTATGTAAACCTTCTAATGAATTTATGGCTCATTTGGAAAAACTGGAGCAAATTTTTCAAAACTTTAATGGAGATACCATATTTACTGGCAAACAATATGTTTCAAGTCTGTTATCTGCAAGTATTAATATTGATTGTCCTCAAGATGCTAAGAAAATATTTTTTCGATCGCGTATGTACTTCCGTATAAATGATTTTAATAAAAAAATTATTTTAGCACGTACTAATAAAAGAAAAATAGAAAAAACTATTGCATAATGTATATAGTATTATATTTTTAAACGCAAATTGTTTTAAAACTGCTTTATATATAGTTATTTAGCAAGAATATTAACGCGATCGTAATATTTATTTTCAAAATTGGCATCTGACTTGTGTAAGTGACGGTTGTTTTAAGTATTTAAACTTAACTATATATTTACCAATTATGTATAATATAAAAATTTTGTTCCTTCTTAAAAGTTTATAAAAAGTGGAAGTATGTAGGTACCTAAATAAGTAGCTATATTTTTATACTAATACCTTATTTGTTCTAATTCGCATAAAAATTAAATATATTTGACTAAGAAAACATTATAAACATTCGTTTTTATTTAAAATGTATGAAGACAGTAAAATAATATGCAAAATATCCATATTTAGGATGACTAAATTACGAGTGCTTATGTATACAATTAAGAGCAATGTGAATACTAAGCTGCGAGTGACGTCGCTGCGCAAGGTTAACGCGAATTTGCACTTCGGAATAGATGGCCCTGGGGTGGAGAGATAAAAATCCATACTTTTAGTTATCCATACTTGGAGCTGTGGTACCACAATTAAAGGCGAACCTGTCAAGAAAAAAGTTGGTCGAAGAGTATTTTGATGGCGCTCCAGCTATTGATTTCCATAACCGTATAAGACAGTCAGGTGTAGCATTTGAACAAGTTTGGAACACACAGAATTGGAAACACCGAATGTATGCCTCATTGCTTGAGATTATAGAGACTAATTCCTTCTTAGCCTATAAGTACTTTAGTAAAAAAGACTTGTTCTCTCACAAGTCTTTTACAAAGAAATTAGGATTACAGATAATAAAAAATGCACGGCCAGACGATCAAGAAACGCAAATGGTTTTATACAAAGACCTACACAATACCTAATAATAATGAAAATCGCCTCTACCATGTATTAAAAGCAGTGAGCAGCGAACGAAATAAACAAAGATTACAAAGAAAATGTATAGTTTGTTCCCGAATTAATCATAAACAACATAAATCAAGTTTTTTGTGACCTCCTAGCCATTGCCTGTTTTGTGTTGTGAATCGCTATGAAGGGCATCTTAGCGTGAAAAATATTATGTAATCCTTTATTGGTTGTTCTCTAAGTTCTCACTTTAAGTTGGTTGGGGCCTTGAATGTAACAAATGAAAGTGTGGTTTCTTGTCAATCTACTGATGTTTACATTATATTTTTAACTTGCCTCTAGGTGAAGTACTATTTTGTTAACAAGTGCAATAGGTCAATACATCATTGACAAATTCAAGTAGTCAAATACCGTGGCTGAATGGATCAAGTTCTCCACAGCCATTAATTAAATAAAAAAAAAAGTTTTTTGTGTAAACTGTGGAACTAAATCGGTGTTATGTGCTCCAACGATAGATATCAATTATTTCGCATAGCATATATGGAATTTCATAAAAAAAGGCGCCAAGTTTTTATTATAAAAGAAAATCAGTCAAAAGTATCCGAAATAGTTTGTATATATGAAATATCTTTTACGTTTGTTTAAATTTTCATTTTATTTGGGTATATTTTTTTAACTGAAACTTTTTGTCGGACGTCAAGTGTACATTTTGATTTTTTAAATGGAATTTACATGATTTAGTAAATGTGTATGTTCTTAAAATACCTCAAATATTGCCTTAACACCGATATGCATGCAACTGATAAAGGTCTTTGTACTGCCGGAATCTTTTAAGTCCTGCAGCAAGGATAGATCATATAAAAATTGTTGAGTTCTTCTGGCAGGACATAATCTCTGTCCAACAGTCCTGCCAAAACAGGCTTCTGGCAAGACAAACCACTGGACGTTCTATTATTAAAGAGTTTCGAAGCCATTAAAAGCCATTTTTCTACATCTGATATACTGAAGTATAGACACACATTTTGCGTATACCTCTTGTCTCGGTCGCGTACTCATTTTAAGGAGAGAGAGTTCACGCCTTGACCTCGCCTATCTGCCACCTGTCTCGGCCGCTTGTTGCGGAATGCTACGTAGCGTAGAACATTCCATTAAGGTATGAATAGTCTTCAATAAACACTATTTTAGAGTATTAGCGTTAAGTTAGCTTTGATATCTAGTGATCTGTCATACGTAAGTCGCACACGCATCATGCTTTCTATATTTAAATTCTGTAATCCTTTAAGTGGTGTCTCTTTTAGGAAGGTTGGCTATCATTACGGATATCTTCAACTTTATTACTGCTGCTCTAAATAGCTCAACAGAATTACCATTGTACAATTGTATCAAGTTGTTTATCCAGGATATACGTCGTCGGCCTACCCTCCTTTTGTCTAGTATCTTTTCCTGTATAATGATCTGCAGCAACGCATATCTCTCAACTTTCATGAGATAGCCCACCTATGCGATTTTCTAGTTAATATCTCCTTTTCCTTGTTCATTCTTTAGTTGTTCGTAACCTTATCGACCCAATTTATTTTTAAAATTCTTCTATTAGTCTACATCTCACTTTTATATGTAAACCAAACTTTCGTAGGTAAGTTTTAAAAATGCCCTAAAAATTTAACATCCGATATTTATTAATTATTTAGAAGTATTTGTTTTCCCAATATTTTTATTAAGATATTTATTCCAAACTAAATTAATTAAAGTTTGATAAAAATTAGTATCACAAACATATAATTTTAATATACCTTCTTAAGTACCTATTAAATTTGTTTAAATTTTATTTTATGACTTTTTTTTGAAATTCTAAATATTCTGGTATTATTTTGGTTAAAAAATTAAATAAAAAACAACAAGGAAATCCAAAAAAATTATTTATACTTATACAGGTTGTGAAGTTGAATTACTGTGGCTTCACAACTGAAAATTATGGAGGTGTCTAGGGGCAAGAATATTCAAGGGGTTCGTTCAACATAGGAACAAACTTACGGTGGCTGTAACAATTGAATATACAATAAGTTAATACATACCTGTTGTGTTCATGAAGAACGCAGCAGCTTTTAATCCACCTTAAGGTTAACTTTTTCAGATCAAAGTCCGTTTTAATTGTAAGGAAAGTAAGCATTAATTTTATTCCGCGATCATCTAACAAATCGGGTTGCTTGGTCATTAGTGCTATTAAGGTCTTTAGACAAGTTCTTTCAACCACTATGTAAGATTTTTTTACTTCAAGAACGTCCAACAATGCATCGTATGCTCCAGCTTTTCCTGAAAATTTTAAATATTGGGTGAAAATGTAACTAATATTTGTTTACCACCTATAACTACGTATTAATAGTATTTTGGGTATATAAAAAAAATTAAATTAAAATGGCGCAAACCATATAAAGAAATAGAAGATCACAGTGTTGGCAGATCTTGTGTTGATATAGTGCCCGCAAACACTCTTGACCATGGAGCTGCGCGAAGGCGGAGTCAAATTCACGTAAAGGCAGAAAGGTTCTATTGTAAATGGAATTATACAGTGCATAGTACAATGCGTTTCACACGGAAGTGGTGACTAAACCAAATTTCATCTACTGCGCCGTGGTCAAGAGTGCTTGCGCGCACTCTAATATTTTTGCACTTCAACAAATTATAGAGAAAATAGCAGCCAGAAATTTATCGACTCATTTAGTTAGTTGACTTCGTTGAAATGTTGACAAAGCCAGCCTTAAGTAATGCATCAACGCTAAAACGAACATGTACATAAATGCAAAAAGTGCCGTTACAATGTAGAATACAATTTCAGATCCATTTCCGGATAAAATGCTCAAGGATGGAGATAGAACTTAAGAAAAGTAATTAACAATTAATAGACATGGATTATACGAATCGAACTTTAACCGAAGAATACGAAAACTGGGGACTCACCATCAACATTAACAAAATGAGGCCTCTTCAAGGTATGCTATCACCCTTTTTTCGGAGGGTGGGTGTCTGGATAGAAGCTAGGTTTTCGGTTGGTTTTTTGGTCGCATTTATTTATTTTTGCTGTTTTTTATGATAATTAGTTATTAGTTAATTAGTTTATATGTTTACTTGTTTGTTGGAGAAAGACAGTTTATTTAGACAGTTCTAGAGCAGTTGTATTGCTAATATGTTCGAGTACTCATCAGGAAGTTCGTAGGATGCTATGTTTAGAAGCCAAGTTGGCGGAAATGGAACTTTTGTTTTTGTAATTCTGCTAAGTACGTGTCCTCGTCGGTGGCAAGGTTTTTTGAAAACCTCCTTTGCTGACGGATAGTCATATTTTTACACATGATTTTCCTCAGAATTTTCATCTCAGTGGCAATGACTTGGTTTAGTTGTCTTGTTAAAAGAGTGTAGATTCTCGCTCTGTATTCGATAATTGGTCTTAAAAAGGTTTTATACGTGTGTAGGAGAGTGAGCTTAACTGGTGTTTCCGAATTAGCTGCCACTTAGTGCTGTTAAGAGTATGGCTCTGTTTCTTACCTTATTCAAGGAGTTTCTAAGGTCAACGTTCCAGTTGAGTGTGTTTGTAAATTCGACACCCAAACAGGACACTGACGGTCTGAAATCGAGTCTTTCTCCGTTGAGCACTATGTGGTTTCGTTGTTCTAGCTCCAATTGGGAACATTTAGGATTTCTAAATAGGATCAGTTGGATTTTGGATGTTACTCTCCATTTGTTGCACCATTCGACTATTTCGTCGAGTTGTGCTTGTGCTCTATCAAACACAGAGCGACCTCTACTCTCAGACGAGTTGTGGGGGGTTGGGAAGTCATTGTTATAGACTGTATATTGTATCGGCGCAATTATTGAGCACTGAGGTACTCCTGCGAGAGGAGTGAATGCGTTAGATAATTGGTTTTTAACTTTGACTCTTATAATCCGAGCGGAAATGTAAAATTGGATTATTCTCAGGAATGGAATGGGCACTGCGGCTTGGTGGAGTTTATCGATTAATCCTGATGGAACCCCTTTTACCCATCTAAAAAGATGCCAATGGTTTGCCTGATATAGGTATATAGGATTCAGCGCTGGTTCTTGGTTTCGCTGATTTAGAGATCATGATTGTGCTGGATACTTTTCAAGAGGTAGGAAAGTATTCCAGCTAGGGGGAAGCATTGATAGTTTCTGCTAGCAGCGGGAATATGACTTCTGGAAGTTTTATAAGGCATGTATGCCCTCTGTGCCAGTGGCTGTGTTTTTGCCTTGGCTACACAGCCTCTTGACGGTTTCGTAGTTTACTAAGGCCACTATCTCGTGAGAGTTGGGCCTTCTACGGGGTTCTGGTCGTGCTAGAAGATGTTGTATGTTTCACTCGGTTTCTATACAGAATCTCTGTCTGAAGCTGGGGTTTTAGGGGTTACGAAGTGGCTTGAAGTGAATCTTTGAAGACTTCAGGCTTGTCTATTGGAATGTTATCTTTGACATATGAGTGAGTTGGGATTTGTGTTTTAGGATTTTGAATTTTTTACAAAATTTACCTCCGTCTCGGTAGTAAGGTCCAGCGGTCACCTGTCTCCATTGTTGTTGTTTTAACAGGTTAACCTCTAGTCTGATTGCCGCGGATAGTCGGTTATATTATGTTTTGATGAGGGGGTATCAGAATATTTTATACTTTCTTAGAAGTCTGCGCTTTTTTTGGAATTTAGCGAGGATTCTTTCTAGAAGACTTAGAATATATTTATTGCATTTAGTTATTGAAGTTGCTAGGTTAGAAGCTTCTTGTAGAATTCCTTCAATTTTCGAGATGCCTATTTCAACTTCATTTGTTGAGGGAGTTTATGAGAGATGTAGTCTTGGAATAGTTCCCAATTGGCTGTTTTCTAATCGCTTTTGTAGATAAAGGGGATATTTTGTTTTGGGCCCATAGGTGTGTTTTGACTAGGAGGGGGAGGTGGTCTGATGTTATTGAGTCACCTATGGTACAGCTATCCTGGAATTTGTCCATGATGATTTCAAGTCACCGAATTGTGTGTGTCTAGCGTTGTTCCCAAACAAAGAAATATTTTTGTTAATATTCTTTTCAATTATCAACATATGTTTCACTTTCTATTGTTTCGTTTTTATTTTTTGCATCCATTTCTTTCTATCTTTTCAACCTATATCCAAATTTGCATTACATAGTAGGTATTAACAAACAATTCTACCATTGCGATGCAAGTTATGGTTTCAATAGGTTAAGTATGATTAGTTTATATACCATATTTCTATGCAATACGATAATTTACCAAATCACATTTAACGTCGAATAGTAATTGAACCCAGTGTCAATAAATTCGTTAAGGTTTAAATACTTTATAAAAGATGTTCATTATCAGGAGGTATGTTCAATGTTCATCCTAATGATGGGATAAGGAAAATAATGTATTGACTTGTAATTCTGATAGAAAAAACAACACTTTCAGTGAGATGTTTCAAAACTTCATGAATCTTCGAAATACGCATGCCCAAAAAAAAATGAATCCAAAAAGATTGACTATTTTAATTGCATACTGAATTCAATATAAATTATTAAAAACGACTGTTAGAAGAAAAGCAATAAATACACGAACTATTTTACTAATGCAAAAATTAGTTTGATTCTGTCTTGGTCTGAGAAAGCAGACAATTAAATGTTTTCAGTAATGTCGGATTTCACAGTTTCGTTCGTAGATTGACGTCACAAAATGAGTTAGTCAGGTTCATGAAATTCAGTAGGACCATAAACTATTTTTAGACTATGCCATTCACCCATTAGGCGCCATGTAAATCTTTTCACGTCATAATTCTGAAAAAACTCTTAAATCAATTACTGTAGGTTAAAGCAATAAATTCTTCTTTATGTCCCCTATCCGTGATTGGATATGATAAAGCCTATTCCAATTTTGTTTAAGGCGCCCACTCACCAAGAAGGAACAATGCGCAATTAAGTCTTTGCATGTTTGCTGTAAGGTAAACCCGTACGCTCCACGCCGGCATACACCAGTACTTTTGCTTTCAGTTTAGAAGTACGGTTAAAGTGAACATGACGTCAAAAAACGATCTTTTATTAATGGCAGTGGCGTGTGTTTGTATTAAAGAAAGGTGTCGTATAAAAGAAAACCAGGGTAGCAATGGACAAACTCTTGGTTACGGAAACGAGCTACGTACTCTCATGTCAGTTTACTGGACGAATTGCGACTGGATTCATCAGATTGGCATAATTACTTGAGAATGGATCAAGATACGTATTTTGAACTATTTTCTTTAGTAACTCTTTTGATACAAAAACAGGACACGCGAATGCGGCAGGCTATAACGGCACATAAAAGGCTAACTGCTACATTAAGATTTTTGGCAACGGGAAGGAGCTATGATAACTTAAAATTTTCAACAATAATTTCAGCTCAGGCATTAGGTCGAATTATTCCGGAAACATGTGAAGCAATATGTCGTGTATTACAAAAGGAAGTAATGAAGGTAAGTTGATTTGCAATGTACATTTTTTTTTCGTTAGAAAAAATAATCTTACCTATATAAAATTCCTTTTTATTGAGATTTTCGATAAAGACAAAGAACTGAAAACACAAAAACTGAAACTAGAATCGGTACAGATCATACTAAAAATATTAATATTTCCAAAAAAATATCTTTTGCAAATTGCAGAAATCAGTATTATTAGAAAAATTCTTATATGTAGCAACGGAATTGGATTGTTGACCCATTGAACTCGATGTCTGAATATTGACTTGTTATTGACTTTCACATTGAGGTAATGCAGACACAAGTGGCATATTTACCGAAAAAATAGAATTTTCATTAAGCATTCCTAATTCTGCATTGTAAAGTATATCATTAAACAACTTTTCTGCAAAAATCCTTGTGTTGGTAGGTCTTCTCAATTTGCAAGCTATATTCTTTCCTAATCGATCACTGTATGCTTTATTTTTAATCTGCCATAAACAGGGATAACTTCTGTATAGCGCTATGAACTCCATAATAAACTCTCTCAGCATGCACCTTATATCACTGCAACATCCAACAAACAGGCGTACAGCACTGATTGAAAATGAAACATGCAGAGACTTGTTGCCGATACACTCTCATTCTTCCCCGCTCGATGATAATTGCACACACTAAAAATCAAGACGATCCTGATTTTGAGAGGCTTGGTTGCGCATTCCACATTTTTCGCCATACACACACACTTTTAACTTTATCCCGTGCCATGCACATTCAATCCTTCGCGCTTCCTTCTGAGTGAGTGGGCGCCTTTACAGCTGTTCTAAACTTCCTTTTCTGGATGTGTTAATCACACAAGAGGATACATGATATTCAACCAAAGTATACAGAAAACCAACCCACACCAACAGATATTTAAATATCAACTCAAACCACAACGTAAACATCAAAAGTAATCAGTATATGATATGAGCCCAAAAATATAAATTAAATGGATTTCAGGAAGAAAAAACCGGCTAACAACGGTTCTAGCAAAAAATGACTACACATTGACATTTTTAAACAAGAAATTGCGAAAAATAAAAGAATGAAAAACACAAAACACCACAAGAAATTTAGGAAAACTTGTTAGGACTCAGGAATACCTTTGTCACACAATTCTTAAATAATCTTTTTTGAAAACGATTTCCGGAATGAAAGTCGAAAAGTCAAATATAAGTTAAAAATATCATTTTTATTACAATCAATTGGGACCTAATCCCATATAAACACAATATTTAATATAAAGAAATATAATTAGTAAATCAATTCGAACTCGATTGTGGCTGACCAATTGGAAACACTTTCCACTGAAGCCAATAAAATAGGTTTGAAAATCAATATTGGTAAAACCAAATCCATGAGAATAAATGCAAGAAACAACACGCTATTCACCATTAATAATATGCAGATTGAAAATGTGGAAAACTTTACGTATCTTGGAAGTGTCATAACAGAAAGCGGAGGTACAGAAGACGATATTCGTATGAGGATACGAAAAGCGCAACAAGCTTTCAGCATGCTCAACCCTGTTTGGAGGTCTGGAGAATACACTACGAGGACAAAGATCCGCATATTCCAGTCAAATGTCATGTCTGTACTACTTTACGGATGTGAAACCTGGAAAGCGACAAAAACCCTTACAGACAAACTGCAGGTCTTTGTTAATAAATGTCTACGAAGAATTGTTCGTATTTTCTGGCCTAACATCATCAGAAACGAAGATTTACTACACCTGACCAAACAAAAGAGGGTAGTAAATGAAATAAAGTCCAGAAAGTGGGGTTGGATCGGTCACACACTCCGAAAAAATAACTCCAGTATTGCAAAGACTGCCCTAGAGTGGAATCCCCAAGGAAAACGAAAAAAAGGTCGCCCAGTACAAACTTGGAGAAGATCCATCATGGACGAGATAAGAAAACAAGGAAAGTCTTGGAATGAGGTGAAGGCCTTAGCGCAAAATAGAACCCGATGGCGCGTTTTCACTGAAGCTCTATGCTCCACTTAGGAGTTCAAGAACCTTATATATATAAATCAATTCGAACACGACGCAGTTTTATAACGACAAAGAAAATGATGGTTGCAAAATAATTTACATTCTTTGATTTGACTACTAGGACTAGAAAATATTAATTAACGATAAAAATCTCACTATTCTCAGTAACAGAAACTTACAATCTACGAAACACAGGAACTCATAATCAAAAGTTAGGAAATAAAAGATAAGATCGAAATTGTTTGAAAGGTTTTACACATTTTATTAACGCAAACTTATATTGTTTAAATTCTCTGTATCGACTTTTATTGAAGCGTAGTTCCAATTACATCCATAGTTTGCATAGGAGTTTCCCAAATTTATGATAATTTGAAAGTCAAACCTTTTATTTTAATGTACAATCAATGACAAGGATGGAGAGTAAATTAAAGTAAGAAAATAATTTCCCAAGCAAGAAATGTGCATGAATTCTGTAATTAGAAATAGTTCGTAATAGTGGTTCTCATAAGAGTTACGCACTATATAATATCACAATGCTGGGGAAACGGTGGGGATTTGAACTAAATAATCTTAGAAATACATATCTATCCACTAATATTAAACGATGAAGTTATTTGCATCTAACTTCGCATATCTGTTACTAAAAATGTATCTAACATCGACTTGATAAAGAAAGAAATAACGGTGGCCATTCGAATACTTCTATACCATTTTCTTCTAAAAAATTGTTTATCCACGAGCTTTGTTGGGTGGTACCTTGTTGGAATATGCGGTCCTGACCCCGAGCTAATGGAACAATATTATTTTTTGGTACGTTAGCATAACGCTCTTTCTTTCTTTCTATTGTGACCAAATCACCAGGACTATCTGCTGTAATACAGTGCTAAAACCACTATTTTTTTAAATTTCAAACGTTGGTCTATATGTGAATCAGACTTGGATATCAACTTCTATGGCACACTCAAAACTAAAAATAACAGTTCGCCAATTGTTCAATTCAAGTAAAGCGCAATCACGACGAACTAACTTTCGTTCTGCTGACAGACCGTATGTTGGCTGTGAACGGTAAGCCAGAAGACGGATTTAACATCCAGCCGACGAGTTGTTTGAACTGAGACTTTTCTTTCTTCCGCAAAGGCCCCTCGAAGTCAAACTTCCAATCTGATGTAGACGAATATGTCTGTCTACTGCCCATCTTATTAAATCCAACGAAAGATCAATTTGTACATTATATATAATATAGACGTTAATGAATTACCAAAAAAGCAATTCTTCTGAAATATCACGCATGTTAAGATCAAAAGTAAAACTGTAAGCCGCGTAAAACTGTGCATTCGGTAACCTAACCTCACATGAAAACACACACACCTCACAAACAAACAGAAGTAAATAATTTGGCTAGTGTATTCGCTCCGTGCGTGACTGACGCGACACCTACCGCCTTCATCTGAAAGTTTTGGACCTTCCAATTTAAGGTTAAACATATGATATATACATACAAAATTGACAATTATTAATAATTAGTTTTTTAATTATATTTTTTCAGTTTATGTACAAAATAAATGTAGTATTAAAAACTGGGTTTCTAAAAATTCATCAAAATTAAACTATTCAACTACAAATGGAAAAGAAAGGGAAAAATCTAGTATAATCATGTGGAAGAGCATGTAATTAAAAACAATAATCGTAAAAGTTATAATATACAAGCTAAAATCATCAGGCAGGCTGCAGTTAACTTGAAGCCTTATAAAATATCATTTAAGGTAAATTATTTAAATTTTTCCTGTTCGATTGAATAAAAATGAAATTATGTGATATTTACTTTTTCATATTAATAGCACGAATCAATGTTTTTCTTTTCTCTAATTTATATGTAATCCTTGGAAACTTATAAAAACTACACTTATTATTTTTGCTATTATAACCACAATTAAATTTGCACCCATTTTTGATAAAATTTATGCGTAAAAAGATAGGTCCAATTTTGTCATATTTCGCCGCTACGCACGCTGGCATCGTTTCAAGGTACCCCTACCATAGTTACGCACGGAGCGAATACGAAGATATAAAAGTAATTATGATCTGAAAATATGTACCATACCTACTGCTACTCTATTTGAAAGTCCCTTGTCACATTCCACTTTAATTATCTCCATTTGGTCCATTATAACTTTATCTGGTGTATCTACTTTGGTTAAAGTTTTCAATTTGTTCACTTCAGCTCCAATATTCTCTGCTTCTTTAGAAGATAGACTAAGTTCTTTAATAATGTTACTCAAATCAACGCCCTTAAAAAATTCAAATTATTGTAAGATAAATAATATAACACAAAATAAACTAGTAATACTCAGAATATTATTTAATTTATTATACGGAGATTTATTTAATTATGATGACAAGATTATTGGTAACAACATAGTCTAGCGGCGACACATTAAATAATATTTCTCTAATATATTCAAGTGCAAATGAGCACATTGTTAGAAAGTTCTGCTGTAGATATCTTATGAGCAACGATACAACTGCTGCAATAGGTAGCATATCATTTTATTAATACCACACATAAGGAAAAACATAGAGTAAGGACGAGGTTCAGGATTAACGACACTAAAATCGCGAAAATACAAATACGAATACAATATAGTATAGCGATATTTAGATACAAAACTTAATCTTAAATCTGTTACCATAATGCCGTCGGATGGCGTAGATGAAATTCTTCTAAAAAAGGCTAAGACCTAGCGGATTTTCAGGTTGCGTAACCACACCTAACATTACTTAACGATCAGTTATGTAGCCGTGTCCGACGGCTCTACGTGCTATTAGAAGCACAGTGTATGTGCACTACGAAGTCCGAAGCTCAGTTAAATTAACAATTGAAAATTTTGTCAGTGCTGGGAATCGAACCCCGGCCTCCAGCTTGTTAAACCAGTAATATAGCCACATAGCTACAGCTATATTACTAGCTTCTTCCGTCTAGTGCATCATTGCAAAATGTAGTTTTTTTACAAAGGGACAATGTTATTCTTCGAAGTAATAAAATAAGAACAAAATATGGAACCAACTATACTCTGTTCAGAGAATAAAAACCATCCTGATTTATAATCTATTTATCCTGAAGATAGGCTTTTAGCTACTTTAAACTAATTATTATCTTAATGTTGCTTATTTCGTAATTATGCCATCAAGCATTTGATGATAAGCTGATGTCGCGTAATGGCACCTCTTCATAATCGGCGATTACAGACAAATAAGTGCGAGCACGAGTGTAGATAGCATATTCGACTATACCTGCCCATCATTGTCTATGATCGCCAATAGCCCATGAATTGTCAGTTTTTCGGAGACGCATCAAAGGAAATAAATAATATACAATAAAAGAAAGGAAATTACAATACCTCGCACATGTAATGAGAGGCGAAAGAATCAACATCTTGAGACTCATAATTCAAGGAAAAATAGAGGGTAGGAGAAGCGTAGGAAGAAGACGCGTTTCCTGGTTGAAGAACCTGAGAGAGTGGTTTGGTTGCAGCTCAAGGCAATTGTTCAGAGCAGCTGCCTCAAAAGTCAGAATAGCCATGATGATTGCCAACCTTCGTCACGGAGATAGCACTTTTAAAGAAGATCAAAGGGAATCATTTCATCGCCGATAGTGTCTTCTTCTTCAAGTGCCATCTCCGTGGCGGAGGTCGGCAATCATCATAGCTATTCGGACTTTTGAGACGGTTGCTCTGAAAAGTTCATTTGATGTGCATCCGTACCACTCTCTCAGGTTGCGCAACCATGACATTCTACGCCTCCCTATGCTTCTCTTTCCTTGGATCTTTCCCTGCATAATCAGTTGGAGCACAGTGTATTTCTCTCCACGTGTAATATGTCCGAGATATTCTAATTTTCTTGTTTTAATTGTATTTAAAATTTCAATTTCTTTATTCATCCTTCTCAGAACCTCTTTGTTTGTGACGTGTTCTGTCCACGATAGTTGCCCAAAAAAACCAAATATATGTGTTGTACTAGGTCAAGCAACTAAACACCTAGAAGAATATTAATTTCTTCATATACCTAGGCTCACTGTTGACTAAAGATAACCAAACAATTAAAAGAAAACTAGTGCTTGCCAACAAATATTACAAATACATCTAGAAGGAAAAATTAAAGTGGCAGTAAATAAAACACTAACAAGAGCAGTGCTAACATATGGAGCTAAAACGTGGTCACTTACACAGAAGGACCAAGAACTGCTTAAACCAGGGGTGCTCAAACGGTCGATCGCGAGTGCTTTTTGGGTAGATCTCGAGAAGAAAAAAAAATTTAATAAGTAGGTGGGTAACTAAACTACTGTCAGCAGAGTTCAACGTTTTTATTAATACTGAACTATACAAATACATAGAATGCTAAGCATCATTGCAATTCAAAGAAGTGGGGACAACAAAATACTGTCCACACAGCATATTTTATATTTACATATATTACTAATTATTTTATTAATTCAATATTTATTATAATTATTAATCAAATTTGGGATGATATTCTATCAACTACAAAAATGTATTACGTAATAAAATAACACTGCTTGCGGCAAAAGGTAGCTTTATCAAAGGAACGCGCGGCACTTGTCAAAGAAAAGCCGTGTTGTTTCTAGACGAGAGACAGTACAGTCTAGTTTCGGGCGGCGCGTTTGACGGGAACATTCGAGACTTTCGTTCACGCCGATATAAATGTTGCGCCTGCAGGAATTGGAGTTATTCTGAATTGTAACTTGATAGCGATCCTACGTCGATACAAAGTTTATTATTAAATAGTGGAAAATGAGTGCAGTGAAGAAATCTAAAACGTATCATTTTAATAAGGATTGGGAGGAAGAATTTTTCTTTTCTATGGTGAAGGATAAGTGCATTTGTGTTATTTGTCGTGCGTCAGTTGCAATACCTAAGCGTGGTAACTTAGAGAGGCATCATAAAACGGTTCATAAAAACTATGAAAAGGATTTTCCGCCAGAGAGTGAATTAAGAAAACGAAAAGTAAGTGATTTGATATCTTGTTTGAAAAAAGAACAATCCATGTTCACAAGATCAGCCAAACAATCAAAAGCTGCTACGATCGCGTCATTTAAAATATCTCATATTTTGGCGAAACACAAGATACCATTTAAAGATGGATCGGTGGTAAAGGAAGCATTTATTGAAGCGGTTGAGACTTTATTTGGAGATTTTAAAAATAAAACAGAAATCATGTCTGCTATTAGAGAACTTCAGTTATCTCGTCCGACTGTCACAAGGCGTATTGAAGTCATGAGTCAAGACATCGCAGATAAACATGATATCATGGAATGTACATACTTTTTTTTACAGTTCGACGAATCCATCGATATGACAAGCTGTGTATTTTTATTCGGATGGTATTCAATGACATGTTGGCTAAGGAAGAATCTTTGATAATCATTCCTCTGAAGGGGAAGACCCGTGGCGTTTCTGGCGATATGACGTTTTCTTAAATTCTGTAAAAAACTACGAGCTACCAATATATAAATTAATGTGCATTACAACCGATGGAGCACCAGCAATGACTGGAAACAAAAACGGTTTTGTGGCATTGTGTCGAGCTAATGAAGAATTCCCTTCATTTTTTTCATTCCATTGCATTATACATCAACAAATTTTGTGTTCAAAAGTTTTAAACAAGGAGGAAATTATGGGCATTGCAACAAAAATTGTGAATTCAATCCGTGCACGTAGCTTGCAACGGCGGCTCTTTCAGTTGCAGTTGGAAGATAGGGAGTCAGCTGAACACACTGATTTAGTTCTTCACACGGACGTCAGGTGGTTGAGTCGCGGAAAATTCCTAGAAAGTTTCAAGAATTATTGCCCGAAATAACAGCTTTTCTAGACGAAAGAGGTGATGACACTCAGATTTTAAAAAACGAAAAATGGCTAAATGATTTGGCATTTTTAACTGACATCACAATGCACTTAAACACCGTTAACTTGGAGCTTCAAGGTAAAAGAAAAACTATTATTGAGATGATTAGCGCAGTAAACGCATTCAAAAGTAAATTGCAACTTATGATAGATCAACTGAAAAGAAAGGATCTGAAACATTTTCCGTCTTTGAAAGCAAGGATTCCTCAGTTGAATTATGATACGTATGAGGCTGAATTATCAAATATTTTGGGACAATTCGAAATGCGTTTTTATGATTGCAGTAAATTGGAAAATATAGCATCATTTATGAGTTATCCTTTTTCATGTAAAAACATTGAGGAATTAGCTACTGAAATAGCAAGTCAGTTTAATATGAACTCATGTTCTGTTGAAAATGAGTTGGTGCAGATTATATCAGATATACATCTCAAAGCTACAGTATCTGATACAAATTTCTGGCGTTTTATATCTGAAGATAAATATCCGAATGTAAGGCAAATCGCCCTTCAATTGACGGCATTTTTTGGGTCAACTTACTTGTGCGAGTCTGCATTTTCTGAAATGAAGATAATTAAGTCAAAATATCGCAATCGACTAACTGACGATCATATGACAATCATATCATGCTTGTGATTAGCACTCAGTGGTTACGTACCATCTTATGAAAAGTATGCTGAGGACATGCAGTGCCACGCTTCAACATCCAAAGCCACTCCTTAGTTAAGTTTAATACCATATGTAACTCTTTTGTTTTGTAACAACAAATAAACTCGCAATTTTGAATAACTATGAGTTTTTTCATTGATATTGTAGAGAAGAACCTAACTAAACCTAACAAAAACCTTGACTAAAATAATGTACCTATATTGTGAAGAAAGCTAATATCTATATATGCTACAGGTACGCCCTACCTAGGTAGGTAGGGTGTATCGTGTATGTACGACAACCCTGCATCACACACACTTGCAGTCTCTCAGAGTCGATCGTAAGTAGTCTAAAAATATTGAGGTAGATCGCCAGCAGTTCAAGTTTGAGCACCCCTGGCTTAAACGTTTCGAGCAAATTCTATGGCATAGCATAACGTATAGCAGCATTCTTCAGTTGTGTGGTCTCCTAATTATGAGGTACATAAAAAGTTGATTGACAACATTCAGCATAGATTTCTTCGTTTCTGTTCATATCGATTTAATATACCTAATAGGCAGGCACATGATTATCGGGAAATTTAGTAAATTGCAATTATCTACTTTAAAATCTCGACGATTAATGTTAGATGCATGTTGTATATTCAATTTAATTCTAAAATATTGCACTCTTATTTTCTTCTTATTGCACTTCTTATTTTATTTTGTTAATTATCGAATTAT